TTCTTGTCATATATATAAAATTTTCTCTCACAAATTATAAATATAAATATTATGCAAATTAAACTCTTTTATATCTAAATATCTTTTAACTATTTAAGATATCATTTTTATTCGTACTAAATCTTATTCCCGATTTTTATTTTACCAATTTTCTCTCTTTCATTAAATCTTTTTAAAAAAAATGAATATATTTTTTTTATACGTATCTCCATTTATTAAAAAAATAATAAAAAAAAAAAAAAAAAAAATTTTTTTTTTCTTTTGCGTTTGCGTGATCAACTACGTATTCATCGTATAGCTAGTCCTTTTTATTACCAAAAAGATTAATGAAGTCTTTAATTAAAAAGCATAAATGAATTCAACAATTGTCCCTTCCTAATAAAACTTTTTTCTTAAAAGGTTAAATTTTATAAGACATCTTTGTAAATATTAATGGAGAATTTTAATAAGAATTTTTATTTTTTATATTTAATTTGTTAAAATCTTCGACGTATTATTAATAAAAAGTTGTGTGTATAAATACTATCATTTTTAATATATTAGCACTAATTTTTCTCTTAAAAATAATCATAAATTTAATAAAATTGCATTTTTTATGATTTATAATTTTTTAATATTATATGTAGAAGTTGTTCTTACTACTAAAAATATATAAAATATAAAAGTGTCTTACGTTTCACATAGATATTACATGATATTAAAATAATTTGAATAGTTTGAGTTTTGGAGATATAGAAACGTAAATTATCCAAATAACATTTCATGAATATTAAAATTATTATAATTATTATAAATAGGATAATATTCCTAAGGAAAAGAAATTATTTATAGCTCTGATTTATAAATGGTTATTAAATTACTTTTTTAGTGTCAAACAAATAAATTTATAAGGAAAATGTAGTGTAAACTCTACTTAATTTTAATATAAAATATTTATTTTTATTAATAAACATTAAATATAACTTCTTAGTTAATTATTTTTTTTTTATTAAAGCAACTCTCTAAAATGTAATTTCCTTAATATTACATTTTATCTTAAAATAAAAATATACATTTTATAGTAGTCTGCGCATTATCCTCCAAAAAAAAAAAACAGAAAAACTAATTTTTTTTTTAAGATTACATTTATTTTTAGTAATGAAAAAAATATAATCATAATTTATATTTTTTTTGAATTGTAAGTACCGACACAAATAAATATTATTATTTATTTATTTTTTTTTAAGTGTGCTCACTTTAAGCGCAAGTATCTATATACTTATATTTTTTGTTTGCATACTTTTTGAATAATTATTTTGGAGCAAACATTTATGATAGCAATTGTCCTTGCGAAATAGCATGCACAAAATAGAATGTTTTTATTCTATTTATTCGTCTAAATATTATACAAAAATGGCAAATAGTATTATTTTTAGAGAAATGTATTAACCGATATAATCAATATAGGTAAAGCTAAATATGTTCACTATATGTCAAGAAAACTTTGTGATATTCAGCGGAAATAGTGTACAATATAAAAAAAATTATTTTCAATAATTACAACTCGTGAAATATTTGATTATTATATTAAAGGATCTATGGTATTGATTTATTAACTGGATGTTCCGTGACTTTGCTAGAGTAATGAACAAAAAAATTAATAATGAGAATGTAGAGTTTCCTCTAGGGTTTTGATGTATTTACATATACTTTCATATGCTTTGAAGAGTGATTCTTAATTATGTGATCTATTTCGTTCAGCATTCTTTGATTTCAATAGGTATTTATTTACTTTAATAAAAATCCTTATTTTAATTAAAAATTTAAATTCTTATTGAATATTGATTATGATTTAATTGTAATTTATTTATTTCTTTGTTATGAATTATGTTCAGCAATTTAAATATATTGCTGTTGAATTAACAAGCATAAAAAATTAGTGAAAAATAAAAATTAATTATACGAATATTAATTACATGAAAATTTTATTGTTATAGGTATAAAATTTTCTCTTACAAAATTCATTCAAATCATATTTCATTCCAGAAAAAAAAAATCTTTTTTTTTTTTTTTATTTTTTTTTTATTTTAATTTATTGGTAACAAATATTTTTCTAATTGATTTTTTTAATCAATATTTTTCCTGATGATCTTTGTATTTTTTTATCAAATTTTATTCTTGACAGTTTTTGTACTTTTTTTTTAAAAATAAGTACAAACAAAAAAAATTGATCATTTTTTTTTTTTTTTTTTGTGTACATGACCAACTTCGTATTCTTCATTTAAGTAATCTTTTTATTTTCCAAAAATCTTAATAAAGCCTTTTATTAACCAACTATAGAACAGGAAAATTATATATATAAGAAAAATATAGAAATCATTTAATGTATTGGTTTCATAGTAGTAAATTCGAAGGACATTGTGGAGGAAATAAACACTAAAGAAAATACAAAAACATTTTTGGTGGCCCAATACTAGTAAAAATATAGAAGAATACGTCACAAATTTTTTAATTTGTCATGTAATGCGTAATAGGAAATTTAAACCCAACAATAATCAAGATTTATCAAAACCGAATGTATTTGATATGGTTCATTAGATATTATAAGACCTAAAACATGGTAAGGTACAAAATACAATATATGAGTAGCAACAGATCATCATTCACCTTTTATGGTAACTAATATAACTAATAAAACACCTAATTCTAGGGACGCAAGTAACATTATAAAAAAAAAAATGGATACCTATATTTGGATGCCCTAGAAGCATTTTAACAGATCGCGGTTCAATTTATACTAGTCAAGAATTTAATAACTATATTACAAGAGAATTACAGATTAAATTATATCATACCAGGGCATATTACCCCAAGGAAACGGTATAAATGAAAGCTCTCATAAAAGCTTAGATTATATCATTAAGAATTTATATGAAGAAAAATATCCACCTTTTGAAGAAATAGTACAAAATGCAGTACTAATATATAATAATACACCTCATGGAGCGATAGGAGAAACACCCTATTTTGCTATGTTTGGAATAGATTGTATCTGTCCAGAATTTGCAAAGTAAGTACCAGAAACAACTTCTGAGATGAGGATTATATACATAAACGATCGATGGAAAAACATACGTGAAAATGTTAAATCAAAAGAGAACCTATAATTGAGAATAAAAATATAAATGTTGGAGATATAATTTCATACTAATTACCGGAATACAAAAGGAATCAAATGAAACACTATAGTGGGAATATACAATATAAATCTTATTGGTCATTTCCTCACAAAGTAACTAAAATTGCAAGAGAAATTTTAAAAGCAATACCTATATACTATAGAGATAAAGAAGTACAAATTCCGACGTCAAAAATAAAATTGTTAAGTAACAAAACTAGAGAGATATATGAAAAGCAACTGGAGAATTTAATACAAGTTACGAATAAAAATAAAAGGAAACTAAATGTGATGCATGATTTAAAGTCTAAAGATTACCTAGATATTCATAAACGGAAAAGCATTATAATAAATGACATTAACGATAATCAGGACAAGCAAATTGAAAAAGGAGTACAAAAAGGAATTGATGTAATAAAACAAGCCAAAAAAAACAAACTTTAAGTAATAACCATTACTTTCCCATGGTGATAGAGTATGGTTAATAAAAGGCATCATTAACCCTTTTGGTAATAAGAACGACTAGCTATATGAAGAATACGCAGTTGGTCAGGCACACACAAAAAAAAAAAAAAAAATGATGATAAATTTTCTTTTATATTTCTTTAAAAAAAAAAGATAGATACATAAAAAGTAAATATATTTATTTTTTTAAAATGATTTAAATTAGAAGAAAAATACTGGTAAAATAAAAATTGAGAGTAAGATTTAATACCAATAAAAATGATATCTTAAACAGATAAAAAAAATATATACATAAAAGAGATTAATTAGCATAACATTTATATTTTTAATTTGTAAGAGAAAATTTTATACATATGACAATAAAATTTTCACGTAATTGATATTCATATAATTAATTTTTATTTTTACTAATTGTTTATGTTTGTTAATTCAACAGCAATATAGTTAAATTGCTGAACATAACTCATAACGAAGAAATAAATAATTTAGATTTAATTAATAATCAACATTCAAGAAGGATTTAAATTTTTAATAAATATAAAGATATTTATTAAAGTAAATAAGTGCCTAATGAAATTAAAGAATGCTGAATGAAGTAGATTACATAATTAAGAATCGCTCGTTCAAAGCATATAAAAGTATATATAAATACATCAGAATCGTAGAGAAAACTCTACATGCTCTTTATTAATTTGTTCGTTCAGTACTCTAGCAAAGTCACCGAACATCCGTTTAATAAATTATCTGGTAATAATTTTGCATCCAACTTTTTTTCTCCTATTTTATCCTCTACATTTACTATCTGATTTATTTACTTTTCATAAATTACATTTTTAATTTATTAAATTATCATTAAATGAATTTGCTAGAGTAATGAAAAACAAATTATTAAAGAGAATATGGTGTTTTCTCTAGTAATTAAATGGATTTTAAATCTAATATTAATTATATAAACAAATAAACTACAATAATGCGGTTCATTGTGAATTTACTTTGATAAAAATTATGTATTTTTATTAAAAACACATATTCTCATTGATTGTTAATTTTTAAATACAAAATATTTATTGCTTTTTATAAGTAATTTTCAGTAATTTAAGTTCACTGCTTTCAAAAATAATAAAAATACATAAATAATAAAAAAAAAATTTAATTATATTTATATCACTTAACGAATATTTGATTCTTAAAAATTAAAAAATATTCTCATGAAATTTTTTTTTTCTAAAAAATTTTTATCTTTTAATTTTTTTTTTTTTTTAAATAAAATTCATCTCTATAAAAAAAATTTAGACAATATATTAATTTTTCTTTTTTTTACTAGATCTTGCACATGAATAATCCTATATTCTCTGTTAAAACATTAACTTTTATTTTCTTAATGGTTATCAAACCTCTTAAAAAGAAATTTCAAAATATTTGATTTCTTATTTTTTATTTTATTTTTTCCCTTCTCATTCTTAGATTCGGATTGTGTTTTATTGTCTATCATATCTTTCTTAGATTCTGATTCAGTTTTATTGTCTGTCATCTCTATCCTAGATTCAGATTCTGTTTTATTGTCTGTCATCTCTATCTTAGATTCAGATTCTGTTTTATTGTCTATCATCATTTTCATAGATTCGGATTCAGTTTTATTGTCTGTCATCCTTTTCATAGATTCGGATTCAGTTTTATTGTCTATCATCTCTTTCATAGATTCGAATTCTGATTTATTGTCTGCCATCTCTATCTTAAATTCAGATTCTGTTTTATTTTCTATCATCCCTTTAATAGATTCTGATTCATTTTTATTGTCTGTCATCTCATTCTTAGATTCGGATTCTGTTTTATTGTCTGTCATCTCATTCATAGATTCGGATTCTGTTTTATTGTCTATCATCTCTTTATTAGATTCGGATTCTGTTTTATTGTCTGTCATCTCATTCCTAGACTCGGATTCCGTTTTATTGTCTCTTATCTCATTATTAGATTCGGATTCCGTTTTATTGCCTCTCATCACTTTACTAGATTCGGATTCTGTTTTATTGTCTCTCATCTCTAGCTTATATTCAGATTCTGTTTTATTATCTATCATCCCTTTCATAGATTCGGATTCAGTTTTATCGTCTCTCATCTCTTTTATAGATTCGGATTCTGTTATATTGTCTGTCATCTCTTTCTTAGATTCGCATTCTGTTTTATTGTCTGTCATCTCTTTCATAGATTCGGATTCTGATTTATTGTCTGTCATCTCTTTCTTACATTTATCTAAAAATGTCCAAAATTCCATGTCGAGTTCATCCTTAACATTACGAATTAATTCTTTTTTTTCTTCTTCTGATATATCACTTCGATGAAATATTGAAGATAGTTCATTGACCTTGTTAGCTGAAATTTTATTCCATTCATTATTCCATTTTTGGTCTCTCCATTTAGGGTCCATTTCACTTGTTTTTTTATCAAATATTTTCCTGAATAACGGATTAGTTTTTCTCTGCCATCGATCGCGCGGATTCTCGTTTTGAATCGGATTTTCCCATTTGTTTTTTTTATTATCTAATGAACATTCTTCTAGGCATCCTTCAGAGTAAGTTTGCATTTTTCCTGCTATATCACCCTCTGTTAATACTCTTTCATATTTTAGCTTATTTTTTGTTTGCAATATATTTTTATCAATCAAAGATTTATAGGAATCACACTATGGATTAAATAAAAATTTTTTAAAAGTATGTTTCTTTTATTAGAATAGTAAATCAAATGAAATGTTAAAAATAATTAGAAATAAAATATATCTATATGTATATTTTTTGTAAAAATTTTAACTTACGTTATAAAAACATTGATACATCCAAATTAAAAGAAGGAATGTAGTAATTTTTAAATATAAAATTAACGATTTCATATTAATATATTTATAAAATAATATTTAAGTGGAAGTTGTTAATTCAGGTGTAAAATTTTTTCAATTTTCAATAATACTAAAATATGGATTTGTAATATTAATTTAGATATTATTATAACCTATATTAATTTCTTAAATTTTTAAAATAGAAAATTATTTTCATAAATGAAATGTAATTTCTAATTTTTTATTATTGCACATGATATTATGGTTACTTTAGATAGGAAAAATATTCTTAATTCTTTAAAAAATAAAATAAAAATGTTAATTTACAAATAAATAAAATATATAATAAATAGGATAAATTTATTTTAAAAATATTTTATTATAATTTTATTTATCTTTAAATTATGTAAACAAATTAAATATTTTTAATTTAATGCGCATAAAAATTATGAATGATATACATTTAATGTTTAAGGTTTTTTTTTTATCTTTTTTTTGTAAACTACCAATCTCTGTGAATTATGTCGAACTTTAAATTATTTAATATACGGTATATTATGATTTATAAATATTAATATTCGTATATTATAGAGATATATCTGCATCAAAAAAAGAAAAAAAAACATTATAAATTAAAAATTTTTATACTCTTGTATCTATCATACAGTATACTACTTTTATGACAAATTTTCACTTAATATAAAACTAATTTTTGTTTGTGAATATTTTTCTTTTAAACATAACTTTTTTGATTTTTCTAAAATACTCTTTTTTATCTTAATTCTTTTTTTTTTATTTTTATTACTGATATATATTTATACAATATATGTACATATTTATTTTTTGTTATTACTATTTTTTAAAAAAAATTACTTTTTCAACTATTTGAAAAAAAATAAGAAAAATTTATTGAGTACATAAATTCAAAAGTAAAAGTGAAAATAGATTTTTACTTTAAAGAAATTATAATAACAAATCTTATAAAAAGCACATTTAAAAGTCAAATAAATTAATTACAATTAAAAAAAAAAAAAAAAAAAATACTATTTATTAATCATATATTTACAGTGAAAAATATTTTTTAAAAAAAGTTTTATTTTTTGACAAATTTACTTAAATTATTCTATAAATACATTTTTATAAATTTACTTATTTTCTAGTAACATTTATCAGTTTCAAAATTAATATAAATGTTATTTACTGAATATAAAAATATATCTTTAGTTAAATATAATAGGTTTTTTTTTATAAAATTCAAAAGAATATATTTTTTATTGTGATATAAAAAATATCATTAAATAAAGATTAAACAGAATTATAAAGTAACTTTTTGCATATATATTATTATAATCTTCTAATTAAATATAAAAGAATATTATTTATTTTTTTTTTTTTTTTGCCTTTATATATTTATTTGATAAGCCTTGATTATAATTACGATGTGTTTATTTTCTTTTTTATTTTTAGTTTTATATATTTATATCACAATTTTTTATTTTTCATTCTACTTATCGAAAATCTAGGTAACTCAATTATATAGTATAAATGAATTCAACAATTTTTCCTTCCTAATATAACTTTTTTCTTAATACGTTAAATTTTATAATACATATTTGTAAATATTAATGGAGAATTTTAATAAGAATTTTTGTTTTTTAAATTTAATTTGTTAGAATCTTTAACGTATTATTAATAAAAAGTGCTGTGTATAAATACTATCATTTTTAATATTTTAATGCTAATTTTTCTCTTAAAAATAATCATAAATTTAATAAAAGTGCATTTTTTATGATTTATAATTTTTTAATATTATATGAAGAAGCTGTTCTTACTACTAAAAATATAAAAAATATAAAAGTGTCTTACATTTCACATACATATTACATGATATTAAAATAATTTGAATAGTTTGAGTTTTGGAGATATAGAAAGGTAAATTATCCAAATAACATTACACGAAGTATTAAAATTATTATAATTATTATAAATAGGATAATATTCTAAGGAAAAGAAATTATATATATCTCTGATTTATTAATGGTTGTTAAATTACTTATCTCGTGTCAAACAAATGAATTAATAAGGAATATATAGTGTAAACTGTACTTAATTTTGATATAAAATTTTTATTTTTATTAATGATTATTAAATATAACATATTAGTTAATAATTTTTTTTTTAATATAAGCAAGACTCTAAAGTGTAATTTCCTTAAAATTACATTTTAGCTTAAAATGAAAATATACATTCTATAATAGTATGCACATTACCCTCCAAGAAAAAAAAAGAAAAACTAATTTTTTTTTTTTAAGATTTTATTTTTTTTTAATTGTAAATACACACACAAAAAAAATATTATTATTTGTTTATTTTTTTTTAAGTACGCTCACTTTATGTGCTAGGTTGTATATACATATATTTTTTGTTTTCATACATTTTGAATAACTATTTTAGAGAAAACTTTTATGATAGCAAATTGTCCTTGAGAATTAGCATGCACAAAATAAAATGTTCTTATTCTATTTGTTCGTCTAAATATTATACAAAAAAGGTCAATAATATTGTTTATAGATCAATGTATTAACCAATATAAACAATATAGATAAAGCTAAATATGTTCACTGTACGTCAATAAAACTTAGTGGTATTTAGCGGAAATAGAGCACAATATAGAAAAAATTATTTTTAATAGTTATAACTTATGAATCATTTTATTATTATATTAAAGGATATATAATATTGATTTATTAACTGGATGTTCGGTGACTTTGCTAGATTAATGAACAAACAAATTAATAAGGAGCATGTAGAGTTACTCTTACGATTTTGATGTATTTATATATATTTCTATATGCTTTGAACAAGTGATTCTTAATTATGTGATCCATTTCGTTCAGCGTTATTTGATTTCAATAGGTATTTATTTACATCAATAAAAATCCTAATTTTCATTAAAAATTTATATCCTTATTCAACATTTATTATTAATTAAATGTAATTTATTTATTTCTTTGTTATGAGTTATGTTCAGAATTTTAAGTATATTTCTGTTGAATTAACATACATAAACAATTAGTGAAAATGCAAATTAATTATATGAATGTTATTTACGCGAAAATATTATTGTCATATATATAAAATTTTCTCTCACAAATTAAAAATATAAATATTATGCAAATTAAACTCTTTTATGTGTAAATGTTTTTATCTCCTTAAGATCTCATTTTTATTGGTACTAAATCTTACTCTCCATTTTTATTTTACCAATTTTCTCTCTTTTATTAAATCCTTTTAAAAAAAATAAATATATTTATTTTTACATATATCCATTTATTAAAAGAAAAAATAAAAAAAATTTAATAATTTTTTTTTTTTTTTTTTTTTTTTTTCCGCGTGTGCAAAACCAACTACGTATTCTTCATATAGCTAATCCTTTTTATTACCAAAAAGGTTAATGAAGCCTTTTATTGAGCATTAATGGACGAATTAGGATATGTCATCATAAAAAAAGAAGGATAAACATATATATATCATGGAAGTTAAACCCGATGTAAAGGAGGATGAATTAAAGAATTGGAATAAAGAAATTATTCAGAATTTTATTAAAGCACCTAACTTAATAGATCAGGAAAATAAAAAAGAGTTCGAAAAAGTATTAAGAAATAATACAAGACTCTTGAAAAAAAAAATAAAATCATGGAACCTAACAACAAATACAAAGTTTCTATTCAGGTACAAGGAAAACCTCGGCGTTTTAACCCTAAACCATTGCTTTATTTATTGGGTGTCGGTGACTTTGTGGTTTATAAAAGGCTTCATTAACCTTTTTGGAAAATAAAAGAACTAGTTGAATGAAGTATACGAGGTTAGTCATCCATACACACACAAAAATAAAAAAAATTGATGATTTTTTTTTTTGTTTGTACTTCTTAAAAAGAAAGTTCAAAGAATGTCAGAAAAAAAAAATTTGATAAAAAAAAATGTAAAAATAGGCAGGAAAAAAATTGATTAAAAAAAATCAATTTTTTAAAATATTTGTTACTAAGAAAATAAAAAAAAAAAAAAAAAATAGATTTTTTTTTTTGGGAAATGGAGGAATTAAATGAAGTATTTTTATGATGAATTTTTCAGAAGAAAATTTTATACATATAACAATAAAATTTTCATGTAATTATATTTATATAATTTTTTTGTTTTTGTTAATAATTGTTTATGTTTGTTAATTCAACAGCAATATAAAATAATTGCTGAATATAACTGATAATAAATAAACTAGTAATTATAATTAATTAATAATTCATGTTAAATAAATATTTAAATTTTTAATAAAAATTAGGATCTTTATTAAAGTAAATAAATACTTATTGAAATAAAAGTATGCTGAACGAAGTAGATTATAGTTAAAGATCACTCGTTCAAAGCAAATAAAAATATATATAAATATACAAAAATCGTAGAGGCATCTCCACATGCTCTTTATTAATTTTTTTGTTCAGTACTCTAGTAAAGTCACCGAACACCTAGTTAATAAACCAGCTGGTAATAATTCTGCATACAAATTTTCTTATTCTATTTTATCTTATACTTTTAATAACTGATTTATTTACTATCCATAATTTACATTTTTAATTTATTAAATTGTCATTCAATGAATTTGCTATAATAATAAAAAACAAATTATTAAAGAGAATATGGTGTTTTCTCTAGTAATTAAATGGATTTTAGATATAATTTTAATGATATAAACAAATCAAGTGCAATAATGCGGTTCATTGTGAATTTACCTTGATAAAAATTGTGTATTCTTATTGAAAACATATATTCTCATTAATTATTAATTTTTAAGTACAAAAATTTATTGCTTCTTATAAGTAATTTTCAGTAATTTAAGTTTAGTGCTTTTAAAAATAATAAAAATACTTAATAAAAAAAAAATTTTAATTTTATTAATATCACTTAATGAAAATTTGATTCTTAAAAATTAAAAAATATTCTCATGAAATTTTTTCTTTCTAAAAAATTTTTCTTTTTTATTTTTTTTTTTTTTTTAAAAAATAAAATATATCTGTATAAAAAAAATTTAGGTAAAATATTAATTTTTCTTTTTTTTACTAGATCTTGCACATGAGTAATTCTATATTCTCTGTTAAAACATTAACTTTTATTTTCTTAATGGTTATCAAACCTCTTAAAAAGAAATTTTAAAATATTTGATTTCCTATTTTTTATTTTATTTTTTCCCTTCTCATTCTTAGATTCGGATTGTGTTTTATTGTCTGTCATCTCCATCCTAGATTCAGCTTCTGTTTTATTGTCTGTCATCTCTTTTATAGATTCGGATTCTTTTTTATTGTCTGTCATCTCTATCTTAGATTCAGATTCTGTTTTATTTTCTATCATCCCTTTAATAGATTCTGATTCTGTTTTATTGTCTGTCATCTCTATCTTAGATTCAGATTCTGTTTTATTGTCTATCATCCCTTTCATAGATTCTGATTCAGTTATATTGTCTGTCATCTCTATCCTAGATTCAGATTCAGTTTTATTGTCTGTCATCTCTATCCTAGATTCAGATTCAGTTTTATTGTCTGTCATCTCTATCTTAGATTCAGATTCTGTTTTATTGTCTATCAGCATTTTCATAGATTCGGATTCAGTTTTATTGTCTGTCATCTCTTTCATAGATTCGGATTCTGATTTATTGTCTGTCATCTCTATCTTATATTCAGATTCTGTTTTATTTTGTATCATCCCTTTAATAGATTCTGATTCAGTTATATTGTCTGTCATCTCTATCCTAGATTCAGATTC